GCGCGTGCGTGTGTGATGTGTTCGCGTATAGGAGATAACCGCCTCTTGCTACTTCCAACCCGACACCCTCTCATGCAATGACGGCTACATTTACAATCGACCTCAACCTGACTACAGACGCTCTACCCAACGACTCTCTCTCTCGCGCGCACGCCGAAAATTGCTCCGTTTACACGGCCAACCTTCGTGGTCACGTCTGACCCTCCCTACTCCCCGTCACCTTCTCATGCTACATGCACAAGCTCTGCCCCCGGCCCCTCTAGCAGTAGCAGCAGTAGCAGTAGCAGCAGTAGCAGTAGTAGCAGTAGTAGCAGCAGCAGCAGCAGCAGTAGTAGCAGTAGTAGCAGCAGCAGCAGCAGCAGCAGCAGCAGAAGCAGTAGCAGCAGCAGCAGCATCATCATCAGCAGCAGCAGTAGCACCAGCAGCAGCAGCAGCATCAGCAGCAGCAGCAGTAGCACCAGCAGCATCAGCAGCAGCAGCAGCAGCATCAGCCCTTTAGCACGGAAATGCGATCGCAGGGTTCTCCCCCGGACCACACTGGTCTAACATGCGTTACAAAGCTGAAGTTATTTAGCGACATTTGGTGTAAAGCTCTCGACATTTCTGAATGCTTTATACATTATTTATTTGTATTAATTTTCATTCCAAATTCATCATTATTTATTTGTATTAATTTATTATACATATTTTTATTTTATTAATAATTCTTTAAAGCTTTATACATGTCTTAATTGTCTAATCGAGCCTCGATTTTTCGGGCGAGTCTATGTACAGCTACAATATTAGCAAGCGCTAGCAGAAATGCGAAGTCTACATCATGCAACGCGGCGGGGGAGGGGGGGGCTATATCGCAGACGACGGGGGAAACTTAAACTTGCCTTTGCCTGGTCGTCACACACACGCAGAAGGACCGGTCGCGCAAAGCGTCAGCGAAAAGTGCGGATGGAAAAAAAAGAAGAAGAGAGAAACAAGTCATGCCGTTACCGTGACGACTACACATCGATGCAAACAACCATGCTGTTAAACCGCATCTTCTAACGTTTGCAAAAAATATTTTTTTTGTCATATTGTCTAGAGCAAGGATAACAAATGGTTTTCCATGCAAAATTAGAATTCAGCTAGAAATTAGAAAGTCAGCAGCTAAATTACATGTTGATAGAAAATTATAAAATATTAAAGCGTAAAAAATTGTTATACTCTTTCAAACTGTAAAATAGTATCTATTAACCTGATAAATTTACCAAAAATAAATTATTTCTCAAATAACTGGAAATGATAGATCGATTCTGCTTGCTGCTCATGGTTACACGTGTTGACGCGTGTTAGATATTATTTACAAAACATGTAAGAACGTTGTTTGTCAGTTTTGTCAGTATGCAAAGTTTTAGATATTAGTATTATTAATTAGCATTACGATAATTTATTGACAATGAAGCTTTGTCAGAACGTAAGCAGCTTGCAAAGCGAATCAGGTTATAACAAACAAACAAATAAACATTCGCCACGTTAGAGTTTCCGTAGAACTTAGCACACTCCGTTCTACGATTAGTAGGTTATGTTTTAGTTTTTAGTCTATGTTGACGACATACTGGACATGGTCATGTTTGCCATGGCCCTGTTACACAAGTGTTCCCCAGATTGCAGATACCTGTGTACCTGTAGAGTCAGGGGTCGAAATTATATTTTTATTATGGTATCCATTCAGGATACCAGGTATTGAAATCTGGTATCCCCCCCAAAGATCTGGT